ACACACACACACACACACACACACACACACACACACACACACACACATATACATATACATATACATACTTTCTAGTTCACTGTAGATATGTGTCTGTGTGTGTGCACACATGTACGTGGGCACCTGAGGAGGTCACATCAGATCCAGAGTTACGGACGGAACTAGAGTTACAGCTCTTTGGGAAACATTTGGTGTGTGGGGGTGATGAGAGCCAAACTCAGGTCCTCCGGGAAAGCGGCGAGCAATCTCGACTCTGGAATTGCCTTTCCAGCCCTGCCCTTATATTTTCTAAGAGATTTTAAAAAATCTTTTGGACAACTTTTAAAATTTTCAGCTCATCGCAGAAATGTTACATTCCCACTTTAGGGTCTCCTCCAAGAAATCTTCAAGGCAGTTGACAAAAAAAGAAGGACGTCGCCCAACGTGATGTTGAAACTCCGCCCACGAAAGGCTAAATCCCGCCCCCTCACTAGCGGAAGCGCGTTTGATGGGGAGGTTGTCCGCACCAGGAGCTCCCACAAGCCTGCTCAAGAACAGTACCTTTAACTAGATAAGCGTGACGAATTCCACGAGCCAGCTGGAAGCCCGATCTTTCCAGAATGGCATAAGCTTAAAAATCAGTTCCTAAAACATCTTTCAGCTTTGGTAGCCAACTTTCCTCCGCATCCCACAAACATGCATTATCTTTACTCCAAGGGTTTTTCCCATGGGGTCAGTGAGTACCCCGTGCCAAAAAAAAAAAAAAAAAAACCCGTGGTGTTCCGGAAGCCTAGGAGCAAGCCTGGGACTTCCTGTATTCCCACAGGAGCTTCGTCTCCTAATGCAATTGTTCTCCGCACTGCACTTTAAATTGCACTGTGAGTTTTTCTAGCTGAAGTATCCAGACCTCATCCATTTATTCCGTGACATCCAAAAATACTTGAAGTGATTTTGGTGCTGAAAATTGAAAAAAAAAAAAAAAGCTGACTATGTACTATGAATGCTTATTAGGAAGCTCCATGGTGTTGAAGAAACAGACCATGGAGCCGTGCCTAGGTTAGGATTACCATTGCTGGGATGAAGCAACACGACCTAAAGCAACTTCAGAAAGAAAGGGTTTGTTTGGCTTACATATCCTGAATCACAGATCACTAAGGGAGACCAACACAGGAACCCAAACGGGGGGTAACCTGGAGGCATGAGCTGGTATACAGATCGTGGAGGGGTGCTGCTTACTGACTTGTTCTCCATGGCTTGCTCTGTCTGTTTTTAT